TTGGTGAGGACCCCAGTTGGGACTTTGTACCTCCCGCCGTGAGTCCCGGGGACAGGTGCCGGCCCGTGTCACTCTGGGTGCAGTTGCTGAGCATGGGAGCGTCTACACCTGCACCTGCCTTCCTCTGGTCCCAGCCTCTGTCCTCCCTTCATCCCAAAGTGGCTGAGGACCCCGCTGTGCTCAGCTGCAGTGTGACTTCTGAAATTTGGAACCCAAAAGGAGCATCTTGTCGGCTAAGTGCCTTCGGAGAAGTCTGAATGGGCTTTCCTCGGCAATGTGTTTCTTTCTCTGTTACATCGCCATTCATAGTCTGAAGTCGCACGGAGTAAGACTGCGTGCTCTCTGTGAATGAACCCTTCCCTGAGTTTTGTGCACACCGAGGCTTGCCCAAATCCGTTTGACAGCGGCACCGATTCCTTTAAGAAATAGAACTATGCGATCAGTTCTTTTTCTCCTCCTGTCTGTCTCATCTCAGTTTCATAGGTCATATTTTGCTGTAATGCTTGAGTCTCTGGCATATTTTTCTTCATCCTTTTCCTTAAAAAAAAAAAAAAACCAACCTATTTTCTTACCCCAGTTACAGCAAAACTATTTGCATTGATCCTTCCTACCAACTTGCACCAGATTTACATATAAAGGATGGAGTTGAGCAAGAGTGCACAATTTTCTCAGGACTATCTTCTTACAGAACAGGAATAAAGGGGTGACCTGGTTGAAAGTTGATTTTCTTGCTGAAAGCTTGTTAAACATTTTTGTTGCAAGTCCCTGTCTTTTGTGAACCTTTTGACCAAACAATGGACTTAAGAGTGAGAATTAGAAACAATTCTCTAAGTAGTGGCTGCTTTATGAAAAAAAGTAGCAAGGAGGGATGTAGTCAAATCAACTGCAGGGAAGTATGAATATGATTGAATAGTGCAGTTACAGTGTCCTTTAAATATTGAAAGATTCGCTTTAGTGTCATTGTTTCAATGAATATGAGTGTTGAGAGAGCTAAAACTCGAAGTGTCACAGAACAAATACTGTTTAGAATGAGTGCCTGACAGGGCTGGGGCATAGCTCACTGATAGAGCACCGCTCCCCACCCCCACCTCAGTAGGCCCTATGCCTGGCGCTGGGAAAAACTAAACAAGCAAATTAGAGGTCAGGAAAGAGCCAGGTACGTGAATAGTGAGAAGTTTTATTAATGCTTAGCTTTTGTAGTAGCAATTTCAATTGGTCACACTAATGTGAGCGTTGGAAAAGCATACCCAGTTTTCTTGATGGTCTTGAAATGTTAGCTTTGCATCACTGATGGTAATAAAATATAGTGTAAAATCAATTTACATTGTGCTCAGTAACACAAACCATTGAAATTATAGTGAATACCTAATAACTATTTTTATTATAGTAAACATACCGCTCCTAAAGTTACATCTATACACATGGATTGTGATAAGCAGACATTTCAGGATCTTCAATATCTTACTGTTTTTTCCTTTTGTTTCTTCTATAAGAAAAATATAACCAAGTCTTTTCAATTAATTAACTTAACGTACAAACCAAAGTTTCTCCTACATCTTCTCACCGTCCTTCTGTCCTTTCCCTCCTCTCCTCCACCCAAGACTTCTTCCTTTCTCTTCAGAAAAGGGGAGATCTCCCATTGATATTAACCAGCCTTGACATATTAAGTTGCACTAAGACTGGGTGTATCTTCTCCTACTGAGGCTAGACAAGGAAGCTCCGTAGGGGGAAAGGGTCCCAAAGGCAGGCAACAGAGTCAGAGACAGCCCCTGTTCCTGCTGTTAGGAGTCCCACATGCAGACCAAGCTGCATAACTGTTAGATATACGCAAAGGGCCTAGGTCAGTCCTATACATAGCCCCTTAACTAAGTATTTTTTTTTAAATAAAGAAGCAAATGCATAAAGAAGACTTTCAATAAAGGTATTTTCTTTTATCCCAAACTAAGCTATTTTTAAATAAAGCTTAAAGTTAAGGGAAATATTATGAAGTGAATGCTTTGTATTTGCCTTCTAGGGATGTCTGTTTTTGGAACAGTCAAGTGTGAAATATCATCTGTTATTCCACCAAAAGTTAATTCAGGATTTCTCATACAATAAAGAAACCAATGGGATGCATGACCTTTCCCTTTCATCCCACTGGAGAGTTGATGGCTTAGTACTTTTGCAGCTGTTATTGAAATCTAGATGAAGCCTTACCCAGTTCATTGAAATGTCAAGGCATTTTAGAAACATATTATAATTCACTACACCATGTAGTAAGTAGAACTGTGTATATTCTTGTTTCACAAAGAAAGGGTTCATTGTAAAGATGAAACATTAATAGAAGAGAGTTTTTTGTAACACCCAAGAAACCGTGTGTATGTCTTTTGTCTTTTGTATGTCTCATTGCTTAAACAACTAACTAAGGTGTTCTTAAAAAGCACATATGTTAAATAAATATTGTTCTACTATTTTGTGACCTAATTTAGAATCATTTAATGTGTATTTTCATTTCTAGTGTTACTGTTTATCTCTTTGTTTTTATTGGATTATACTTGGTTTTTTTTTAAGTATGTAGTTGCTTCTAAATAAATAGAATGCAATTTTATTTCTGTCGGTAACTTCTGACATTTATGCAAACAGTTGCTTCGTAATTTCTCCCAGCCTGATGTATAGCTGTAATAATTATACACTGTGATCTGAGCTTTTAAAGCAGTGCTTTAGCCTCTGAGGGTCAGCCCTCTTTTCTGCTTTGTGAGCTAATATCCTATAATGAACAGGTGTCACTAACTTTTTAGATCATGGAGAAAGCAAGTTTCACAGGACAGTAGCAGCCCTAGCATGTTCTCCATGGTGTCATTGCTTTTTTTTTTTTTGAACATAATTTAGGATTTATTCCCACTGTAGAGGAAGCACTTTTCTTGTTTGTTTGTAAGATTAGCCCTGTGCTTGTGTTCTTTATCCAGTCACTTACCGTCTTTGAGATCTTGTGCCATCATTTACTCATTCTCTAGTATGTTTAATTTCTCACCGTCTTCATCTTTTCTCTACTGTCTAAAACAGTGCTCTTTGTCTTCCCTGTCCACTTCCTCTCTCTCTTCTTCTCCTTTCCCACTCTTTCTCAGACAGGCTCTAATTCTGTGTAGTTTAGGCTGGCCTAGAAATCATTCTGTAATCCAGGTTGGCCCTGAATGTGTGGCTGTTCTCTTGGTTCAACCTCTAAATCCTAGGATTACAGGTGTGAGCCAGTGTATCCAGCCTCACTTTCTTTTTGTTTAGTGCCTCACACTCTCATAAATTTCACTTACTTTATGAGACTAGTGTTTCTAAAGTCATTCAGTAATGATGATGAACATACTAAGATAATAGTCACTGAAGTCCTATCTTGTGTTCTCTACTGTTTTTTTTAAACATTTAAATTGGATATTATATTTACATTTCAGATGTTATCCCCTTACCCCATTCTCCCCCCCAGCCCAGGGACCACCATCCCACACCCACTCCTCCTGCTTCTTTGAGGATGTGCCCCCACCTACCCCACCCCACTCCCACCTCCCTTCCCTTGGATTCCCCCACACTCGGTGTGTAGCCTTCATGGGACCAAGGATCTCCTCTCCCACCTATGCCCGACAAGGCCATCCTCTCCTACATATACAGCTGGAGCCATGGATCCCTCCCTAAGTGCTCCCAGACTGGTAGTTTAGACCCTGGGGAGCTCTGGTTGGTTGGTATTGTTGCTCTCCTCATGGGGCCACAAAGCCTTTCAGGTCCTTCAGTCTTTTCTCTAACTCCTCCATTGGGAACCCCATGATCAGATCAATGGTTAGCTGTGAGCATCTGCTTCTTAATATGTTAGACTCTGGCAGACCTCTAAGGAGGCAACTATAGCAGGCTCTTGTCATCATGCACTTCCTGATATCCACATCAGTGTCTACCTTTGGTGACTGCACATGGGATGGATACCCAGGTGGAATGGTCTCCAGATGGCCCCTCCTTCAGTTTCTGTCCCACATTTTGTCTCCATATTTGCTCCCTTGAGTATTTTGTTACTCCTTCTAAGAAGGACTGAAGCACCCACACTTGGTCTTCCTTCTTCATGAGCTTCATGTGGTCTGTGAGTTGAATCTTGGCTATGTATTATATCACCAATGCTCACAACTCATGAGGGTAGAAAGTTATATGAAGTAATGTAGGGTCAAGCTTTAAATCCAATTGTCCCATTTCAAATCCTAGTTTGTTCTGTTCTACAAATTCCAGGATGCTATGTGAGTTATTTGACTTCTCTGCCTTAGTTGCCTCACCCAGGAGTTGGGAATAATAACTGTCTGATTATCTCACAAAGAAATTGAAACATAAATAGATGAAAGTAATGTATCTAAGGCCATATAGATTTATGTAATGATTTAGGTTATAGCCAAAACTCTTTTAACCACTGCCCACTGCTGTCTTTTCAGTGCTGATGGTCACCTAGTTGATAAGGCACTGGCTTTGTAAAATAATTCTTATTTTCTCTGACCTTTCCTGTAGAACTAGATAGTATTTTTCTCCTTGTATTTATTAAAGCTCTTCCATATATCACTTGGACTTTATAACCTTGTTGACAACTAAATTTTATTTCATTATTCTTTCTAACTTGTCAAATTTGACAAATTTTCTTTTTTTCTTTAATGTTTTCTGTGCTCTCTTCTTCTAGGACCAAAGTTTTATATCTTATATTAAAATAAATAGAATTACATTATTTTTTGCTTCCTAGTGCATCATCTTGTGCACATACTAGGATATTCATAATCAACTTTAAATGAGTGGTCCTCTTTATAGAAGGAAGAATAACAGGTCAGCATCTCACACAAGACCCTGTACAGCTTTGTTTTCTTTTATTTTTGGCTGTTTTCCACTTCTGTGGTTCTTCCCTGTCAGATAACATCATAAAGTTTCATTAATCTATCTATATCTTCATGTTTTTATTACTGTTAAGTTTGTTGAAGCATCTTTTTTACCTTTTCATGGCAAGAGTCTTAACTATGCTCAGTAATAATGACTTGTTATGAAAATTATTTTAGTGATATAATCATTAGAAATACTTAACACCAATTGAGCTCTTTATAAATGGCATCTGTTATTCTAAGATGCTGTTAGTTTTATATTTTAATCTTAGAACCAAGGTGTGTATATAAAATATGTATATTCCACCACCACAATGCCATTACCAAATTTGGAGTATACTTTTCACTGTCACTGTTGATGGCTTTGTAAAATTGAGGAAAAGCTTTGCAGCTGTTTCTTGTGCTCTCACTGTTTGGACATGCCTGTTTCAGTAGTCTGTATTTTATTTAATTGATGCTACTTTGTACCTTACTTATTTGCTCTTTTGCCCTGTGAACTGAAAGATCATTGTTCCTGAGTTCTGTAAATGTATACTTTGCACGTACTCTGTGTTAGCAGATGATAATGGGAGGAGTAAATTACTTTACTCATTTCCTGAGCTACCTTAGGAGCTTTGTCTTGAGCAGCTTTGATTTTATGTTTCTTGCTATTGTAGAATTAATTTGACCTCCTTTAGCCCTCAAATATGAAATCACTGGACTGCATTTTGGTGTTCTTAAGTCTTTGGTTAGTGTAGCATGATTAATATTTATAAATGTATTCAGTAATTCCAAAGATTAAAATTTAAATACAAATAGAGATTCTGCTTTTATTTTGCAAGAACGTTTGCTGAAGATGACCTTAGAAGAGAGACGCAAGGAATACATAAGGGACTATGTTTCTCTAAGCACCATTCTATCGTGGAAGGAAGAGATGAAGAACAAAGGCCAAAATGATGGTAAGTTTTTCAGAACAATTTTTTAGGCAGATGCTGCTCCCATATATTGATGGTTCTTGTAAGACAGTGGTTGACAGAAATGAATAACTAAATTCATGAATGAGGTATTTTTGAAATTATTGTTTGCTTGCTTTTAGTTGCCTATCACATACTTCTTAAACTTAGGAATGTATAGTAACGTTGGTCATATTCTGAAATATAGCACATTTATAGTACATGCCTTTTTACAGGTACCCTTTTATTCTTTAAAATCTATTCTGCAGCAGATCTTAAGAGAAAATGCTATAGACGTTTACTCATTGGTCGTGTGGCATTTTGAGCTTGTATTGGATATTCTTTAGGTTATTTTAAGGATTGAATAAGGCTTAGAGAGTATATTGCAATACAGAAAACCAATAACATTTCAGATAATTTAGAGAATTATGTTTTATATGGTATTGTATTATGTCTATATGTAAAAATATTTGACAAAATTTACTTAGTCTTTTTGATTTGATGAAAGTCTGGATTATATTAGAGTATAAATGGATTTTTAAGCATTAAAAGGGTACATGAAAATTGATTATTCAATATCAAGTGGTCAGCCCAAAATAATTTTTTTAATACACACACACACACACACACACACACACACACACGTACGTATGTCTTCAAAGAAATTGAGGCCATTAACTTGGCAGGGAGGTGGAAGGGACTGGAGGAAGGGAAAGGGAAGGTAGGAAATATTATATTAAAAATTATATTTTAATAAAAATTATTAAATGTTTCTAAGCAGAAAATCATACATTTTATAGATGTTTGATATATTTATCTCAGAATTAATAGTCATTGGTATTAATCTTGATGCAAAATTTAGATACACACTTCAGAGCAAGGGAATTTACTTAAGGAAGTGAACTTGAACAATTCATTTTACAGATTGTGCCCTTAGACTGGTAACAGCATATAGGATACAGATCAGAAAATGAAAACCAAGTGTGGAACAAAATCTGTGGAGAAATCAGCTGACTTAAGCTTAGGTGTTTGTAAAAAGAACATAGTTAGGGTTTCATTTTAGACACTTTTCTGAAAGGTGGAACAGGCATGGTGACGTGTGCAGCTGAGGCAGGAGCATTGCTACCAGTTTGACAGCTTGGGTGCATAGTGACTTCAAGGCCAGCCTAGGATGGCTAGCCTCACCCTACTTAAAAATCAAATAACTGTAGCAACAACAAAGGCAAAGCTTGTTAGGCTGAAAGTGAAAAGATCTTTTTAGTGGGTAGGTAGGGGAGTGACTTCACCTCAAGGGTTAGTGGTATCCTAGAGCCAGATGACTAGCATATTCGCATCTGACCTCCTGCTTATTATTTTCAGTAAAGGCAAGTTGTTTTAGCAGCTGTCTCATTAAGACATTGAAAGAAAAGCTAGTATTGTGTAATGCAAGAGCATAGGCCAAAAATTGAGAGAAGAGCATTTCTGCTTCTCCTTGATTGGGGCTCAGTTATTTCTCTCTCTCTTTTTTTTTCTTTTAATTATCAGCAACTGAAATCGAATACTTAGCTCCATGCCTAGCAAACATCCCTTTGGTCTTTCTCTTTTCATTCATCAGATTACCTTCATGGTCACTGTTATAGCTGGTCAGTTATCTAAGGATATGGTACATGATGTTCATGTTAGCAAATTTGCTCTCTTGGGATAGATTCTTGTTGCTACTGGAATATTTCAGAGATCAGTAGCTGATACTCCGACTGCTGTGCATGCTAGAACCACTTTCTTCTATTTAGGAACTTGGTTTTCTTGTTGGCTGCTTCTAGTCTCTTTATTTCATTTATTTTTTATGTATTTATTTATGCAGTTATGCACATATGTATGCATTTATCTATCTATTTATATGTGTAGGTGTATGTGTGTGTTTGTGTGGGTGAGTTACATTAGTATATTAGTATCATAGCTCACATATATAGGTCAGAGAACATCTTGCAGGAGTCAGATCCCCATTTCCACTATGTATGTTCTGAGAATATAGTTCAGGATGTCAGCCCTGGTGGCAAGCATCTTTATCTGCTGAGCTGTCCCACTGGCCCTGGCTACTTCTGTTTAAAGATTCAGCCAACAAGTAACTGTGCGTGGTAGAATTTTGTCAGAATTAAGTAGTTTGGTGTATTCAGGAAAATACAAAATTCTAAAATATGTCTGCCAAATTAGAAAATATACATTGAATGTATATGTCTTTCCCTTACATGACACTGTGTATTTAATTCTGTGTGCCAAATATGAACTTATAATTTATAAGTGATTCACAGTTATTTTATGCATCAATTTTTCTGTTAAGCTATTTTGAACCTGAAGGCATTCCGTGGGGAGTTAGGTGATATGACCTGAATTGTATTTTTATTAAGCTGTGCTTTATCATTTGCATGTGACATCTGAAATGTTATTTGCTGTTGTCTTTTGTGACCTGGAAACTGGTGTTTGGCCTCATCCTTGAAATGTAATAGTTTTGTTATATAAGTGATGTTTGGTAATTTTTTACACTGTACACATTTTAAACATTCTTCTTACATACTTGGTTCTTGTCATCTGTTTAGTACTAAGTCATAGTAGAATATTAGTCAGTTTTACTATCTTACTGCTTTAAAAGAACTGGTGAATATGATCATTATGTTCATGCATGGAATGTCATAGTAAAATTTATTGTGTATGAATAGACATAGTGGGCAGCTGCACATATGAACTCAGTGATTGAACTGAGCAAGCTCAAGCCAGATACAATTCCAGCATGGAAGTGAGCATGAATTCCTATCCCTAGCTAAGGTATTATTGGCTTTTGATAGCTGCTGAGAAAAATAGTTTTCTTCAATGGTATCACTCCTAGGGTATTGACCACACTCCAAGGCAAGTCCCATACCCACTAATAGTTGGCTAGTACGAACTGGACTGGATGGTTTTTAAAAAGAGAGAGGAAAACCAGAATTGGGTAAGCAGGGATGTGAATCAGGGCGGAGCTGAGGAATCAACATGATTCAAGTGCATTGTAAGACAGTCTCAGAGATTTAATAAAAACACTACTTTAAAATAAAAATATGTATAATTAATATATACTAGTAAAATACTTTAGAAAAATCTTTATTGCTGAGAGGTATAGATATATATGAATATATATGGAAAGCTTCTCAGGCTATTTTGCAACAATTTATATATATTATATAGTTTTATCTATAGTGTATATAAATATGCTTATATATATCTTTAAAAGATATTATCATAGAAAATTAGCAATTCATAAATACAAATATCCAATTAATATGTTCATTTTCCCATCATCTTAGTTACTTTTCTGTTGCTATGACAAAGCAGTGTGAGCAAGATTTAGAGTCCATGATCATCATGGTAGGAAGCATGGCAGCAAGCACGCAGGCATGGTGCTGGAGCAGTAGCTGAGAGCCTGTATCTGATCCATAAGCACGAAGCAGAGGAAGATGGGAGGGGAAGGGTGTGTTTCTGTGTGTGTGTGTCTGTGTGTGTGTGTGTGCACGTGCATGTGTGCGAACCCCCCTGCACAGGTACCTGTGGAGGCCAGAAGGAGAGGGAGGGAAGGAGAAAAGGAAAAAGGGAGAGAGAGGGGGAAGGAGGGGAAGGAGAGAACATGCATTAGAGAGTGCTAACTCAGTGTAGTCTCAAAGCCCATCCTCAGTGATGTACCTTTTCCAGAAAGGCCACACCTTCTAATCCTTGATAAACAGTTCCACTACCTGGAAAGCAAGTCTTTAAGCATATGATCTAATTGGGATTCATTTCCATTTTACTACCATAACCATTGACTTATAAAGGACTTGGAGTTTTGTATTGCTGGTTTACCTGAGTAAATATTCAATCAAAAGATATTGACAGGACCGTTCAGCAAAGTAAGAGTGCTTTTTTTTTTTCCCCAGAGAACTAGAGTTCCTCAAACCTTCTGTAATTCTAGCTGCACTGGACCTGATGGCCTTTTCTGGCCTCTGAAGGAACCTGCACATGCCAACACATATACACACATTCAAACCTCTGTCTATCACATAGACACATAAATAAAATTAAGTAAAATTTAACAAAAAAATTAAAAAGACCGTAAAAAGTCAATATACTGTATTTAATCTTAGTTAATTTTAATCTGTATTTAGGTCTATTTCTGTCCTTTTCTTCCTGATTATAATATATTTTAGAATACACTGGAGATTTTTTCTTTTGTATACTGTGAGTTCTCTTCTTCATCCCATGCAGCTGAATCACAACAATTTCCTAGTACTTGTTCCTCTCTGTATGTTTCTTGTAGTTGTAGTTAAACTCTAGAGCAGTGCTTCTCAACCTTCATAATGCTGCAGTCCTTCAATACACCTCATGTGTGGTGACTCCAAGCATAAAATTACTTTTGTTGATACTTTGTAACTATAATGTTGCTACTGTTGTGAATCATAATGTAAATAAATATCTTTCTTACATGCAGCTGCTCTTAGGCAACTCCTGTGAAAGGATCATTTGACTTCAAAAGCAGTGGAGACCTACAGATTGAGAAATGCTTCCCTAATGGATTATTCAGATATAGATTTAAGCTTTTTTGAAAAAATATTTTTATATCATTCTGCCTTTTCATACATGAGATCACAGAATAGATAGTATCTGACCTCTCTTTCTTTGGTGACAATATTGGTCACTGGGCTCACATGTGCTGTGACGTACCTGTAAAGTACTGATAGCAGCCGTTGATAATTGCTGCTTAGGTCATTTATTTCATTAGTGGTTGAAAAATAGTTTTAACTGGATTTTATTGTTCTATGCTTTATTATCATGTATCCTAAGAGGACCTTGAATTTACTCTATAGCCAATGATGGCCTTGAATTTCTGATTCTCTTGCCTTCACCTCCTAAGTGCTGTAATTGTAGGTATACCACACATAGTATATGTGGTGCTGGAGATGACAGAGGGCTTCTATAATGCCAGGAAACTCTACCAACTGAGCTACACCTAGAGTCCATGAGTCATT